CTAAAAATTTCTTTTCGAACACGCAACAGAGCTATGTATCTTATATTAAAGACAGAAGAAAATGGTCACTTAATGGACCCTTTACAAACAACCAGATAAAGACTACACAACTAGTCCTAATATGACCTAGGCCCAGTTCTTGGAGCATTTTGGCTCTAGCAAGACTTCATAGTCTCAACTCCTTGAAGAATTGATGTGCAACCTGTAGGGAGGGGGAGACACCATCAAAACACACTTGTTCCTATGATTCCATAAGGTCCAGGCCCCCAAAATCACTATACTATTGAATGTCTGGATACTAAAGACGCAGAGGCACCAATGTCCTTGATACTTGTGGCCTTGTGGGTAAATCCCATTGCATAATGATTAATGAAACATATTTAATCAACTGGAAGTCAGGCAACATACTGCAAACACGAAAAGGTCAAAACAGAACAAGAAGACAGAAACATACCTCCCTGTACATATGTTCAAGTTGCTCTTTTGCTTCAGGGAATGTGGTTGAACACCATTGTTGCAAAGTGAAAATGTTGTCTGGAATATTATTGAAAATGTTAGGGTAGCCTCAGAATGACAGCAATTGGACATATATCTAGGGGAGTTCATTAGCAAAAATATTACCTGTCCACCTGTTAGCTGCTGAATGAGCAACATCAATAGCATCCTCTGCAATTACCAGCATATAGTAATAGTTAAAATGAGGGGAAGACGTGCATCACAGATTCGGATCAGGTAATGATATTGCTAGAACTAAGATGAAAAGATGCCATGTGAAGGAAATTAAAATAGATGTATGTATCAATGACAGCAATATATCAATACAAGAGTTGTATAAAGAGGCCATCTCATACTCATTGCTTCTACTGCAGCTGGATCACTATCTGCATATGCAGCCAGTTCCTCCTGAAATTTTTATAACATTGTTGAGCTGTATATAGGACTAAAACAACCATAGGATAGACCAACAAATATAATGGCACCTTGAGTTTCTTATGGTGTAGCTCTACAGCCTTCAGCTCCTCCAAAGCAGCTTCCCTCTCTTCCTATAACAACACAATTAGTTCTTGTGTCGAAATGATTACTGCACATCTTGACAATATGCATAATAATAACATACAGAGTCTTCCCGGCCTCTTTTCAAGTTGTCTCTATGTTCAACAAGCTCCATGTAACGCTTTCTAGAGTTTGAAAGATCAGATTCCAGCTTGTTGTAAGTATTCCTCAGCTACAAAGGATACATTAGCTCAATCATCATCAGCTATGAAGTTAGAGAATAAGGGAGATAGTCTTCTTATCGTGATAGAAAAAAAAGGGTAATAAGGGAGTAGTAAAAAGTGCAAAACAATGCGCAACAGAGAAAAACGTAGGACCCCTATATTCTTCTTATCGTGATTTGTTAGATTTTGTTTGTAACCCTAGAAAAAGTACAGTGGCCCTCCAAATGTAGGCAATGGCAAATGCGGCTTTCTTCTTGCAAAGCTTCTATGAAGTTAGCTTGTATCACATTTTTAACAGCATCAGACTATATGTTAAGAGGTTTCACACCTTATCACGCACACAGTAAATGTAGAAACATTATCCAAAAACAAGAACCTCTTCTGACTTCTGGCCTGCTTACTTTAGACATGTCTTACTACTCGTCATCAGAAAATCATAGAACAAAGATATTGTTTCTTGATACAGTATCTTATTGTCAGTTATTAATTAAGATCAGCAACTTATCTACCACCAATTCATCATAGTATGCAGAGAAAGAAGATTTGAGAGGAATAAGTCTACAAGACCTGGTTCCCAGCACAACTTGGAAGACTCCAAAAGTACACCTGCAAGAAAACTATTTTAGGCTGGGAGCTAGAGAGAAAAGGTTTTATGGATAACAAAATATATTTGTTTGCAGCACAGACAATATGTAAAGCTGTAGTTATATGCAAGAGCAAGCTGTTGGATAATACAGGAAACTATTTCTGAATCACTGATAACTTAACTCAATGCCAAACTCTCAATGCAAATGGTTACACCATTGTGTTAGCAGTCGAACTATTGTTGCTCCATGCTACAATAATAGAGACTGAAAAAAAAACTTACAGAAGTCCCGATTTTGTCCTTCAAGACAAGATCATCATCCACCAGGCTTTGCACCACATCCTTCACAGACTGACTAATCACTCCCTTTTTAGGACCCATTTTCTCTAGCTCCTTAAGCTAAAAATGGCATATGGGAAGAATTATATTTTATGGCATAGGAAAAACACATTCTACATAACAAAACCTAACAGAATAGAAGCCAAGTAGCAAAATCCACAGGAAAGTTAACTAATATGCACATGAATTTCCAATTTTAAGCATAAAAGTGGCATCAGCATTTGAACAGTCCTATGGAAAAATGATTGCATCAATATAAATGGTTGTGGATTGGAAAGAGAAGATACTGCTATTATCAAATGAGACAGATCAGGGATCCTTCCAGGAATTAGGAAGCATGATCGTGTCAACTTAGAATCAAATAGAAACTGTTAGTAAACTGCAGTAATTTGATTGATACAGGGCAAGCCACTTGGTATTCTTTATTTCAACCCTCCAAAATATCTAATACAACAAATAAGCAGAAGAAAGGGAGAAATGCAACTACTGCCACAGTAACAAACAGAGACATTTTCAGATTTGGAACAGAAAATATTAAGTTCCTTGGACACAGTTAATATGGTAACACTGAAATGAACATAACAAATTGCTGACCGAAGAATTTACCAGAAAGAAGTCCTGGCTCTCATAGAATATTTGAAGCATTTGCTCCCGTTTCTCCTCCAACGAAAGCCCCCTCTTCTTAGACTAAGCATCACAAAGGGAAAGGAGGATCAGTCTATCCATTATCTTTTTTTTTCACAATACGTAGGTCCTTGTTAAAACATGAAACAAGAAATGCTGTAAACAGTGGATCTGGAAACAAACTTTATGGTGCTATATGTACACATATACAGCAACGGAGTGAATGCACATCTTCAGATTATTTGTAAAGGTAGCAAACGATAACAAGTATCATCACTCCAACACTTACAGTTGTCACGGACTCTCTTAACTGCTAATCATTTGATCCACACCTGAAACTTTGTATACCCGTAGGAATTATTAACACCAGAGACCCAAAGTTGACACGGACTCTCTTAACTGCTAATCATCTGATCCACACCTGAAATTTCGTATACCCGTAGGAATTATTGCTGAAAGACCCGTAACACTAGAGACCCAAGGTTGACTCGATGCCTCTAACCTATCATCACCAACCTGGTGGCAGTTTCTCACTGGCGATTCAGTGGAAGTCTATTGCAATTTGCAAGCAAACGGTGGGAAAGAACACAAACCCTCAACGCCCCAAAAATGCACCATTCCCTACACGTGCCCCCAGAGGCGAGATGAATCAAAGCCAGAAAAAAAAACGAAAAAACAAATATAAGCCCTACAACCAACCAGAGGCCCTTTAAAAAAACAGACACAGGAGCCGTGGATCCGCCTGCTGGGGTGGATGAGGTAGGGAGCGGTGCTTACCATCCCGACGGGGCTGGCGGCGCCGACGAGGCGGACGAGACGAGTCGCGCGGCGGATGCGGCGATGCTTTTTTGGCGCCCAAACGCAACGGAGATGACTTCAGTTCGGGCGGAGGGGCACAGGGCGCCTGGCGCGTGCGGTGCGGGCAGGACGCTCCTACATATCGAGGCCAATACGTATTTGATTGAATAATACGCGTATCGTACGGTTTGTAGAAAACTGCAATATTTATATCTTCAAATTTTTTTAAAGATGAGAAAAGTATGGATACGAACTGGATAAATATTTACCCATTTTAATATATAAAAAGGCCTTAAAAGGCTTTTTAACCGAGGATACGCGTATTGATTGAATAAGCCGCACAGTCCACGCCTGTTTTTTTAGATGAGAAAAGTACTCGCCGTGGCCGGCGACGAAAAAAAATAAAAGGCTCGCCGGTGATACGCGTATCGTGACCCCCCCTCCCGCTTCCTGGTCTCCTCCGCGCATCCCTCGGGGTCGAATCGGCCGGCGGCTCCATACCCTGCAATATTCAACCGGCGGGCGGCGGTTCCATCGCGAAGAAGTAAGTTCCTCGTCTCCTCGACTCCTTCCTGCTACGCAATTTCTGTGATTGTGGTTTTATTAAGTCGCTGAACATCACTTATTTACTGGTAGTCTCGTAATATGTTATTCATATGCGTAATTATTGTTATTAAAAAAATTCTCCTAGGCTAGGATAACTTATTCATCCGATACATAGCCATGGTGCATGGATCATATAATCCTGCCGTACGAAAATAAGATCTACCCCATCTTGATTCATGTTGTCTATGCTAGGTCCACTCACCTTACCAAAGATAGCATTTTGCTTGTGGCTGTGTGGCACAATTTCAAAGTTCAAGAAGGCGCTAGACGCTGACCCATAGCCTAGTGTCTAGGCTAGCCTAGGCCAGTCTAGACGTTTTAAGGCGTTTTTCTAGGTGTTTTGCCAATTTAGCATAGAAAATGTTGAATAAATTAGTTAAATAGAACCATAGAGTAGCTGAATACAGTATATAAAAGAGAGGGCATTAGACATACCTTAGTGGTTTACTGGTTTAGGCTCAATAATCAATAGACAGTTTGTTCCTAGTTTCTACAGCAAGGATTGACAGCCTGTAAAAACTCAATAGACAGCAAACAGTTCATCAAAAAATAGAAAATAGCAAGTTGACATTTATCTGAATGATTTCAGCCACCCATCCATGAACAAACCATATCAGCAGCTAGTAATTACAAATTTTAAAGCACAAACAAATAGACAGGACAGTGCATAACACAATTCATAAATAAAGGTCTTGTTTAGAGACTACACAGTTCTCACAAAAGAAGAAAAACACAGTCACACAACAGCAATTCATAAGTTTGAGACATACATGATAAAAGATAAAGCATGACATGATAAAAAGGCCCCACTACCATATCATCTTTCTTCTTCAATAGGGTTTCACATAATCATCCTTATCTTCATCAAACTGTTCTTCTTCGGAGTCAAATTCTTCTCCTTCATAAAACTGTCTCACTCTTGCACTTCTACACAGCTCAAGTTGTTCTTCTACTCCCACTGCACCTCCAATAACAGACCAAGATATCCCTGTACCTTCCATCTCATCTTCCTCATCTCTATAGACAACTAATGCACAATCATCTCCATTCTCGTGCAGAAAACCTTGAGCTTCAGTTGTATCATTAGACAAGAGAACATCACTGATCTTCTTTGACTTGATCTTTTCTTTCTTATTAATAAGCTTGGAGTTGAATTGAATATAGACCAATTTATTCAGGCGGGCTGTAGTAAGCCTATTTCTCTTCTTAGTGTGTACTTATAAATTTAAAATAAGAGTATTTTTAGGTCTGTAATTTAATTGTAATGCTATTGTAATTTTCAGGTAGACAGGTACTAACCCCTTCAAACCCGCTCCAATTTCTTTCACAACCAGAAGAGCTTCATGTCAAAGATAGGATCCTTGTAGCCATCTTCTGTAAAGCTAGTGTTTTAGTTCCATATAGCCACCACCATGATGCTGAAATAAATGAAAACACCTCTATTAGTTAGTAGCCATTTATTGTTAGATGAAAACAGCAAACAACCATGTTGTAATCAAATTTATTGTAATAACAAGTACCTCTATCTGGGTTCTAATCAAAGTTTTCAAAAGTCCTTGCAAGCTTCTTGTTAAATGGTCCTTCTCTATTTTGAAACTTTTTCAGGTCAATGTTGGCAGCGTGATGTTGCTTATCATCATCATCATGATAATAAAAAGTCTCCACACAACTAATAAATCCTTCTGTTATTGTGGGCTCATCAAAGATTGATGGGTTACTATAACTATAGTGTGGATTCAGCAAATAAGCTGTCAAATGCAATGGAGAATCAAGTCTTCCTTTCATCTTCTTGTCAATAACAGCAATTACCTCCTTGAACCAGGACTCATTATTGCCGAAGGCCTCTTTGATCTCTCTCTTTGCTTTTAGTAGTTTTCCATAAACGAAACCCATGGATGGCTTCACATCCCCATCAACCAAATGGAGAACTTTGACCAATGGCTCAAAAACAGTCAATGTTAGCTTGACATCCTTCCAAAAGCTTGAATTCAATATAATTGTTGTGGCATCTTTTCCTTTCTTTGATTTCACATCCTTCAATCAGTCCCACCTACTATGAACCACCATCTTTCTTAACTGGTCCTTCTTCTCTTGTATGCTATTCAAAGTGAGAAAGGTTGAAGCAAACCTAGTCACTCCTGACCTTATTATCTCTTTTTCCTCTGTGAAGTATCTCAAGCACTCCAATGTTCTAGTGTGCCCATAGACAAATATGGTGAATGTCTTTGCTTGGTCAATCACCTTCTTGAACCGAGCCATGTTGCTAATTTCTTGGAGCATTAAGTTGATTGTGTGAGTTGCACAAGAGGTCCAAAAGATCTGAGGTCTCTTCTCAAGCAATAGCTTCTTTGCTCCCATGTTGTTAGAGGCATTGTTTGTCACTACTTGCACCACATTATCTGGACCAATGTCTTCAATTGCTTTGTCCACTAGTTCAAAGATGACTTCATTTGTGTGTGACACATCTAACATCTCTTTTGAGCTGATAAAACTAGTTCCATCAGCACAGTTAGTGCATAGGTTCATTATGCTTCTCCTCTTCCTATCTGACCAAGCATCAGTCATAATAGAACACCCATTCTTTAGCTTCTCGGCTTCACGTTCTTGCAGCAAACTCTTGGTTCTTGCATATTCTTCTTCCAGCAATCTCTCTCGCAGATCATACTGAGTTGGAGGTTTAAGTCCAGCCCCAAATTGTCCAATTGCTTCAACCATTTGCTTGAACTCATCATTGTCACATGCATTGAATGGTATTGCTTCCAATGTTACAAAACAAGAAGGTTAATTAGTGTTCAGTATAGCCATAATAGCATCTAATGAATTCTGAAATATAAATACAGAATATGAACTTACCATGTGTATAGACCCATCTTGCAATATATTTATGCACCTCATGTGTTCTTTCTTTCCAAAGCTCCTTGTTCAGCTTCTGTTGAGTGAAAGATTCAGATTTGGTTGCTTTAGGATCAATAGCACGCGCCCATTTGTCAATGGGTTCCAATTTGTGAGGCTCTGAACTTCCAATACAAGTGACTTCCTCTGACTCTCCACCTCCAACCCGAGAAACATTCACTTCCTCTCTAAGTTCTAGCTCACAAACAGTCTTCTCCCCACTCTTCCTTTTTGCATCATTTAGTGCTTTCTTGCACTTCTCTTTAGCCTCTAGAGCCTCCGGTGTTCCGGCCTTGCATTTCGTCACATTCTTTCCTTCATGGGCCACATGTTGCTTCAACCAATAAATCCCTCCTTGCATCACCTTGTCACAGAGTTTGCACTTCACCTTGTCCTTGTTGTTAGCATTAACAAGAACCCTATATTCCTATCCCACATCATCCGAATTCCTTCTCAGGAGATTGGCTCCCTCAGTTTCAGGTGCAACCTCTGTTGTTGACATCCTATACATACATTCAGATTTCAGTGACAATACATTCAGAGTTCAGTGAACATTCAGGCAATACATACATGTAGCAAATCAGCTAAAACAATCAGTCACACATCCTACATTCAGGCATTCAGAGTAACATTCAGGCATTCATGCATTGAAATTAGGCATTCAGAGCAAATAACAATTAACAAGTGATAACAATATTACCAAATGACAGCAGGCATTCAGAGTAAACATATTAGCTAACAATCTAACATTCAGAGAATCAGAGTAGGCATACATTTAGATTCAGAGGACAGATCAGCCCCTCTATCTTCAGATCAGGCATACATGATACAATTAGAATTTTAGATTCATTCAGAGGACAGAGGAGGCAGTGAGTTGAGTAGACAGCAACAGCCGAGCAGGGGAAGGCAGGGTACCTAGCTACCTGCAGCCAAGCAGGGGAGGGCAGCGGCTGGTTGGTGCAGTCGTGCAGGCGGCCAGCCACCCGACGGGGAGGGGAGCGGATGGCTGGAGCAGTACCGGTGGGGACGGGAAGCCACCAGCGGGAGCTCGAGCAGCAGACCGGCGGGGATGAGCGTGACCGGCGGGAAGCGGCAGGGCACGATTGACGGAGAGAAGTTGCGGGCGCGACAGCTTCTTTCCCTCTTATACTCTGCCGCCCGATTCCATCGCGCGCGCTCCTCACTTTCTTTTCCCGCACCCACGCGTGGGCCCGATGCCAACTTCGTGAGCGCGTGCTTCCGCGGCGGCAAAATTTTTGCGCGGCTCGCCCGCGCCGTCCGCCCAGGGCCGCCCAGCCCGCCTCCGCGCCGCCCAATCGCGCCGAGGCGCCGCCTTATGAAGCCTAGGCGCTACGCCCGCCTTGGAGTCCGCCTACCCCCATAGGTCAGGCGAGCCCCATTGCCCAGCGATTAGGCGCGCCTAGGCGGGGATGAGGCGTCGCCTTTTTGAACCACAATTTACTCCACACATTATATTAGCTCCAACTGTTGGGCTGCCTAACCAAAGGAACGCTATTGAACCTTTTTGTTTTCTTATATCTTGCTAATAACATCGCTTTCTTATATGTTATGTTTGAACAGCGTACCATTTACCTAGAAGATTGCCTTTACGTTGTCCTTAGTAGCTGGGATTGTTGGGATTCAGCAAGCACATTTCCGAGACTCAGTCTGACTAAACAAATTTCTGCATCAAAGGCCATGGATTGCCCTGAATATAGCTCTCTCCCAGATTTTCGTTGTAGCCCATGGATTATTGGTCTAAACAACAACGAAACTGAGACACTCATCAACCCTTTCAATGGACGCTTCTTTGAAGCTAGTCTGCCAATATTTAAGGGGAAAACGTGTCTAGGATGCTTTAGAGATTGGTTGTTGATGCTTGATGACGGAACCCGAGAGTGTTTGCTTGGCAATGTCACTTCTTATTCAAAGATTTCCCTTCCTCCATTACTTGACCCAATTGATTCACTTGGTAAATTTGCCTTGTCATCGCAAACCCCCCCTGATTGCACTGTCGTGCTTGTCTGCACGTACGAAGAAAAGTTTGTCTTGTACTGTCGCCCTGGAGATAAAGAGTGGACAAAATATAATGTTGATTTTGATAATAGCCGCGATGCTTTTGATGGTTATGCTATATTTGGATCAAAAGGGAAGATTTATGTTGGAACCAGCTGGAAGAATCGATGTGCTGTCATCAACACTACTACTTCAGATGTTTACATTGAGAAGATGGGTATGGCAGAACCCAATACGTGCCCTATCACTGGTACATATCTTTCATTTTGGGTTGAGTCGAATGGACACATCTTCCTGGTGCGGATCTATCTCCATGCCCATCAAGCAATAGGGGTGACCAACATTGATATTCATCAAATGGATACCTCAAAATATGTTTGGAGAAGGGTTCAGAGCATTGGTGGTGCCACCTTTTTCCTTGGTGCAAATTGTGTGGCAGTGTCTTCTCTAGCTGCAGGAACCAAGGCTGATTGTATCTATCTTTTGCTATGGTGCTACGATGGTATTCGATTGTATTCCATCCAGTTGGTTGATTGAACTATAAGCTTTGGTTTGCTACCTGCATGTACTGTCGATCCTGAGGATTGGGCTGGTACATGGTATAATTTGTTCTGGGTAGTTCCTCCAAGGTAAATATTTGCAAGACCCAGTTTCACATCCAAATTTTATTACTAAATATATACATTAAAAGTTGTACTAGCTTCAACTTAGTTCTTTCACCGGATATTCTTGTGTACAGATTTAGGCAGGAACCTATTACATTTTCGGGTGTCATCAGACGCAAGGTCAGTCCACAAGTCATGTATCATGTGATGGATGTTTTCTGCAAACTACATAAAGTGTGTTAAATTTTAACTGTTATGGTTAGACTGGTAACGATTTAATAAAATGATGAGTAAATGATGATAAACCAGTTACTTCAGCAAAGTATCAAAGAGAGATGAAATGTTGCAATTTTCACAAATTATATTCAACAACAACAACAACATAGCCTTTCAGTCCCAAGCAAGTTGGGGTAGGCTAGAGTTGAAACCCACCAAGAGCCCCAAGTCACGGTTCAGGCACTTCAATAACTGTTTTCCAAGCACTTCTATTCAAACATAGATCTCTAGGTATATCCCAAGCTTTCAAATATCTTTTTATTGCCTCTTCCTATATCAATTTCGATCTTTCTTTACCTCTCCTCATATTATTAGTTGTGCTTAGGACTCCATAATTCACTGGTGCCTCTGGAGGCCTCCTTTGGACATGGCCAAACAATTTCAACCAATATTGGACAAGCTTTTCTTCAATTGGTGCTACCTCTAGCCGATCACGTATATCATCGCTCCGAACTCGGTCCATTCTTATGTGACCGCAAATCCATCGCAACATACGTATTTCTGCAACACTTAGTTGTTGAACATGTCAAATCTTTGTAGACCAACATTCTACTCTATACAACATAGCCGGTCTAATCGCCGTTTTATAGAACTTGCCTTTTAACTTTTGTGGTACTCTCTTGTCACAAAGAATGCCAGAAGCTTGTCGCCACTTGATCCACCCTACTTTGATTCTATAGCTAACGTCCGCATCAATATCTACATCCCTCTGTAGCATCGATCGCAGATACCAAAATGTATCCTTAGGCATTACTTGACCTTCCAAACTCATATCTTCCTCCTCCTGTACAGCTCCGCCAAAGTCGCATCTCATGTATTTGGTTTTAGTTCTGCTCAATCTAAAACCTTTAGACTCAAGGGTCTGCCGCCATAACTCTAGTTTCCTATTTACTCCCGCCTGGCTTTCGTCCACTAACACTACATCATCAGCGAACAACATACACCAAGGGGATACATCAAGGGATATCCCCTTGTATGTTTCTGGTAACCTCATCCATTACCAAGGCAAAGAGATATGGGCTTAAGACTGATCCTCGATGAAGTCCAATTTTAATCGGGAAGTAATATGTGTTACCATCTTTTGTTCGAATACAAGTCACAACATTATTGTACATGTCCTTGATGAGGGTCACATATTTTGATAGGACTTTATGTTTTTTCAAAGCTCACCACATAACGTTTCTTGGTATCTTGTCATAAGCCTTCTCCAAGTCAATGAAAATCAAATGGAGGTCCTTCTTCTGCTCTCTAAACCATTCCATAACTTGTCTTATTAAGAAGATTGCTTCTGTTGTTGACCTTCCGGGCATGAAACCAAATTGGTTTGTTGATATCTACGTCGTTCCTCGCAGGCGCTGCTCGATGACTCTCTCCCATGACTTCATAGTGTGGCTCATCAACTTAATTCCCCGATAATTAGTACAACATGGGATATCTCCCTTTCCTCAGGCATCTTGTTCGATCGAAAGATATTGTTGAACATCTTGGTTAGCCATACTATAGCTATATCCCCGAGATATCTCCACACCTTGATTGGGATACCATCAGGGCCTATCGCTTTGCGTCCTTTCATCCTTTTCAAGGCTTCTCTGATCTTCGATTCTTTAATCCTCCACACAAAGCGCCTGTTAGTGTCATCAAACGAGTTGTCTAGCTGAAGGGTGGTGTTCTCATTCTCACCATTAAATGATTTTTTGAAATACTCTTGCCATGTATATCTGATCTCATCCTCCTTCACCAAGAGCTACTCCCTCTCATCCTTTATGCACTTGATTTGGTTGAAGTCCCTTATCTTCCTATCGCGAGCCCTAGCCATCCTAAAAATGTCCTTCTCTTCTTCCTTCGTACTCAAACGTCGGTAAAGGTCCTCATAGGTCTGCCCCTTTGCCTCACTCACCGCTTGTTTTGCAGTCTTCTTTACCACCTTGTACGAGTGCTAAGCGGCTTTTCTAGAAAGACTTAGATCGCTTGGTTAGAGCTGTCCCTAGTAGCCAGAAGCTCTTTATAGGAGGTGATCTTAATGGCCATGTAGGTACATCAAGTGTAGGTTTCGAGGCGGTTCACGGGGGTTTCGGATATGGTAGTATGAACCAGGAGGGAGAGGAAGTCTTAGACTTCGCCATAGCTTTTGATCTGATGATAGCTAACACTTTCTTTCGTAAGAGACAGTCATATTTAGTGACCTTTAGTAACGGCCAGTACTCTAGTCAAATCGACTTTCTCCTTACAAGAAGGGATAAATGAACATGCGTGGACTGTAAGGTGATACCTGGAGAATGTGTGGTCGCTCAACACAAGCTAGTGGTGGTTGACTTCCACTTTCTGGTGCAAGCTCGTGGGAACAAAATATTAAAAATGTTCCAACCACTGAGCTGTGGGCATTTTGCCAACTAGGTTTTATACCTGTCCATTTTTAAACCACAATATATACTACATGTACGGATGTACCTGGCGTACCTTTCAA